ATAGATAGATAGATAGATAGATAGATAGATAGATAGATAGATAGATAGATAGATAGATAGATAGATAGATAGATAGATAGATAGATAGATAGATAGAGTTCTAAATGGCTGTCATGTTTTTTTTTATTATTTTACCACATTCTTTGCATGGATGGACACGGAGACTATTTTCTTTCTTTTGACTTCTGCCATATTTTGCTTTTTCAATTATTATTGGTCTTATAGCTCAAACTACTATTGTCACTTTGTAACTTAAAGTAACAATAATAACAGTTATACTAATTTTTCTTAGAAAAATCACTGCAGCAATAACCATGACTTTATTTTTGTTATGAAGGTGGCAGCCAACACCTTGTCATCACCCCAGCACACAGGAAACTACACACACACTCTGCCTTCTCCTCAACATCCCCCCAACTACAACCTGCTGTCCCCCAGCCACCAGCCAAACTACGCCACCTATAAAGAAGGCTACAACGTTTACGGCATTGAGAGCGTCAAGATCTAACACGGGTAGGAGAGTGATGATTGATGGCTAAAAGTGTCCTTACCTTACAGCCATAGACAATGTTTGTGTCATAGACATTCAACTAATTGGTGTTAAATCATCTTTTCAAACATCCATTTAAATTCAATTTACAGCTGTATTCATATCAAACTGGTGCAAAGCAACCTCAGCGGCAAAAATAACGTAGAGTTGGAGTTAAACTTGTGCAGTCATTTTGTCTGTATTTACCAATGTAAAGAAAAACTTGTGAAGGGAAATAAGTAGTAAGTATATTAAATAGTTAATGCACAACTACTTGCATTTGTACTTTTCTGCACCCAGATCTAGTCATCTGCAAATCATTGTACAACTGAATTTGTGCCTTGTGTCATACTGTAGATGTTACCTAACATAGAGAATATGCAGGCAAATTTTCCAGATGCATAGTGTTTTGTTTCACAAACACTTGTGCAGATCTTGGGTTGTCCATATAATTTTTTTTTACCATTTCAGATATAAGTATACATTTCTACTTTTAATATAGTTGCAGTGTTGTCATTCGTTAGGCTAACTGATCACTCTAGTGGTGGTAAATTGGCAGATACACATGATAAATTAAAAGAGGTGGTAGTTACTGAATGAATTAATACATTAAAAATAAAAAAAATATCATTATTATTATAGTAGTTATTTTTCTACAAAACATAATATATCTATATTATGATAACACTATAGTGTAGCAATTTATCTTTATGTACAGAAAGTTTACGACACCAGTGACCAGCAAACATTTTGTTTATAAACGAGCAAACTTTTTGTTTAAAATTTAAAAAGATGCTTGTTCTGAAATGAAAAACTAAAAATTAAGTGACATTTACTTTATAATTAATAAAGCATTGTTTAGTCATTGTTCACATACATGAACTGTTTTGACTGTGAACAACATAAATACAAAAGTTGCCATTGAGTCTCGCATTGCATTGTGATATGAGCCAGTGTGTGTTCAGAGTATGATGTGAATGCAGCAATTTTTCCTAACAAACAATACTAACACTGAGACAATAATAAAGTCTTTTTTTTAAACTTCAAAGTAAAAGATCAAAACTATGTATGGCTGTGGTACTCTTTTCCTTCGTTTACTTATTTCTCAACAGCTCGTTTGCCTCCTTCATCCCCCTTCCTTCTCTCTTCATTTTCTTTGGCTCCCATTTTTTCTCCACTCCTCTTCCAAACTTTCCTTTCTGTCCTTGCCCTCTCCTTTTCCTTCTCTCTGACTTCGTTGTTTGCCCTTTTACTTTTTGTTATGTTTGTCTGTACGTTATCCTTTTCTCCTACTCTTGTCTTAATAGCCAATCATCCTCTTTACTGAGTACTCCTATGTGACTTAATGTCAGTTTTTATTCGGTGGCCCTAATAATTTAGACTGGTAATAACACAAAATATGAGTTATTCTGTTAATTACCTAATTGGAAACAGCCCTATAATTGCTTTAATGATAGATAACCTGTGATTATCCGAGTTCACAAGCCCTTAGAATATAAGAGAGAAAATTCCAATAATTCTCTTTTGAGCAAGCCCTTGGTAACAGAGGAGAATTAAAACCCCCTTTTAACAAAGAACTCTGACAGAATCAGCCTTAGAGTGGCCATGGGAATTGGTTGGCAATTGAATTTAAGAGCAAATCCAAGATGGATAAAAAAAAAACCCAGTCGCATCTATCTCAGTTTCTTCCTTCGTTTTGCCCCAGATTTTAGATTCAGGCTTGTGTGTGTTAGAAACTTTACCATTTAGCCTGTCGTATCAGTTTAAGACAACATTTTGCCCCAGAGTCTGTTTACCATAAAAATTTACATCCCTAATGTTAACACAATTGCTCATGGATTTCACGGTTTGGGAGAGAGACTTTGTTAGATAACAGTTGTTTTTTGGTTGCTGCTGTTTTGGTTGTTGTTTTTTGGCTTTAGACTAAAAAACAAAATTAAGCAAAGAAAGTTAGCAAGCTATGCTGTGCTTTAAGTCAGAATTTTCAGTGTCATGGTAACTTTTGTTGTGTACAAAGCCTGGTTCAGAGCAGGTCATGCTCACAGTTTTGGTTTAAAATCAACTGGAAGTGCCACTTTTTATCTATTAACCTACCTACCTGAACATATATGAAAACGTAATGCAAACATCATTGCACAATATAAGAAAACAATTTACCTTCTCCACTGATGGCACCTTGCAGCTTCCTATGTCTTTAAGATCCCACCATCTGTGTAAGGTGAAGTCCACTTGTGCACACTTACCTACACTCTTATATGCCACTCTATGATCCTCCCTCTTCTTAAATAATAATAATAATAATACATTTTATTTATAGGGGCCTTTAAAGATCCTCAAGGTCACCTTACATTAGTACAACAAAATAAAAACATACAGTAAACACAAAAATAAAAAAAAAATAATGTAAGTAAGTATAAATGCTAAACAAGGAAAAATAGACTAAAAGTGATGAGTATGCAATTCTGAACAGATGGGTTTTAGACACGATTTCAAAGTAGAGAGAGTTTGTAGTTGATCATGTTCACAGTACATATTCACCACAGCTATTTCCATCTTTTTCACAAAATCCATCACCATGTGTTGTTCTGCATTTCTTTTCTTAACACCATACCTAGCCAATACGTTTATTTTTGGCAAATAGTAAAACAGTTTCCACAAGCACTTCATCAGCGTCCCCTTCTCCTATAGCCGTGAGGGTGAAACCTTTAGAGATAAAAGCAAAATCCTCCAAACCCACATAAAGGCTGACGCCAGCTAAGAAATGGGGTTTATTCCCACAAGAGTTTATCGGATGCTGAGTCCAGAGCAATAGCGAGCCATTAGGGAGGCCTGTGAGTCTAAGAAATAACAACTACAGAGCGTGGGTTTCCCTGAAATGCCTGCAGACATGATAGGTTATCTACAGATCAACGGGTGGAAATTCCTTATGGGACAAGATTGATGACCCACACGAGCCTCAAAAATGTGGGAGATGATTGTGTGTTTGGAAAAGAAAAAACAGAAAAGAATTGAGGCAGGTCAGCATAAGACTGGGCCATATTGAGGTCATCATATCTGCATGGAGAGGGACGTCGGCATGACCTGAAAGGTCAGAAAGTGACTCCCAGTAAATTAAAAAATAAAATGAAAAACCAGAAGCTGCTTAGCTGTAGACAACCCCAGGCTAGAGAGAACCAGGAGCTCATGAAGAATACCAGACCTACGGGGATGGGGGGAGTGTTTTTAACCCAATTCAGTTTATTATCATTGTGTACTCCGAGGTATTTATAGTCCTCCCCAATGTCTACATGGACCTCCTGGATCGAAACAGGGGTAACACATTTCCTGGTCCTCCTAAAGTCCACAATCAGTTCTTTGGTCTTTGCCACGTTGAGCTGCAGATGATTCTGCTCGCACTGCGTGACAAATGAGTCAACAACAGCCTGGTACTCTGTTTCATCACCGTCACTCATAAGATAAAAGAGATAAAATAAGATAAACCTTTATTAGTCGCACACATGGGACCCATGGGTCTCTGTGCAGTGGCTGAAGTGCGTGGTGTAGAGGGTGAACAGGAAAGAGGCTTGTCCCTTGTGGTGCCCCTGTTTTGCTGATCCCCTTGTCAGACACACAATGTTGAAGACCCACATATTGTGATCTTCCCGTCAGGTAATCAACAATCCATGACACAATCCGGTCTTTAAGTCTGACATCATTAGCCGTGTCTGGGCCCTAACTCCGTTGCATATCTATAAGTTAAACGAACACTGCGGCATCACTGAAAGTTGAAAAACTGTCTAAATTCTTTCATCTGTAATAGAATGATCAGTGTGGCTGCTCTACCAGGTGTAACAATTAAGTTTAACATCCAGGCATCCATGAAAACAGAATTTATGACATTTAACTGAGTTAGAAGTTAGCAGGGAGTTAGCTCGCTAGCTTCCATATAAATACATATAGCATGTGCTGACTAAGGGATTTTGGAAACAAATGAAGGCGTACAGCTCTGCTATCACTTCCAACATAAATGAAGACAGAAACTAAACAGCAGTGACGTTTGTAGAGTTATTGAAGTTGGGCTAGCTGGTATATAATGATATGCTACGTGATCGCTAGCGACACAGCTACGTTAGCATACTAAACACAGTGAAGCTGGAGGATGAACACTTTTTTCCCCTTGATAAAAGTTAACGTGAGGATTCTCGGTGGTCAGGGACAAATGGAATCGCATGGCACGCTGCTGTAAACGGACCAAACTTCAGTCAGAACAACTGAGATAATCAATTCACAATACGAGGTTAGTCATTCAAATACTGATGAAAAACTAAAAATTAAGTGAGCTGGGCTGTAGTTACATGGTAAGGTTTTAAAAACTGAGCTTTAAAATGAATAGCGGTAAGAAAATCCGAGAGAGGCCGACAGTGATCACTGACTGTTTTAGGGGCTTTTTGAGATTAAATAGAACAAGATACAAAGCATTAAAACATTTTAAAAACACAAAAGCCTTAATAAACGCAGGGTAGTTTGGGCCCGGAAGCAGGATTCGTCACGTCATCACTTAATGACCGGATAGAACAGGAGTCGGCAATCTGCGGCTCTTTAGTCCTTATAGTGCAGCTCCGCGTGGTTTGGGAAAATAAATTAGAAGTATTTAGCTGAAGTGTATTTTATTTATGTTAGTTCTTTTTTAACTTGTAGTTCTAAATTGGAAGATTATTGTGATATTGAAATATAAAAATAAAATTATATTCTTTTATTTTTTCATCGCTCAAAATAAGCGTCACACTCGCGAAAGCCGGTATGCCTGCCGAAACGCCGTGCATTTATCGAGACTTTCAACCCCAGGTAGGCCAATTATAGATCCACATTATGTCAGCAGCTGTTCTCCACCGTGAACTATGTTAAAAACAAACATCGCTCACGCCTCACAGATGGCAGCTTACAGTCCTGCGTAAAGAGGAAAGTGACTTCGTACAGCCCCGATTTGCAGACGCTGTGCGCAGAG